CCCCCCCTCCGCGCCCGCACCCACCCACCCACCCCCCCCCCCCCCCCCGCCCCATCACCACCACCAGAACATGCTCGGCTTGCTCAGCAGCCGGAAGAACCATGACTTAGGCATTCCAAGCCCTGGGGAAGTTGTGTTTCCATTGTTTCAGCTTCCAAAGACCAAAGCTGGGTCCTTAGCCCATACCACCACCAGTCTCTTCTCCCTTCCTGGCCTCCTCCTCTTCTTCCCAGCCTCTCCCTCCGCGTTGCCTTTTCCTCCTCCTGCTCCTCTTTGATCTTTCTCCCCGGCCTCCTCACCTTCCTTTCACCTCTCTGTCTCCCTCCAACTTGTCTTCTCTTCCTCCTTTTCCCTCCTTCCCTCCCTTCCTTCCTCCTCTTTACCCTTCCTCCATACCCCCTCCTCCTCCCCCTCCTCCTCCACCTTCTCTCCCTCCTCCCTCCCTCCCCCTCCCTCTGGCTTTCTTTCCCTTCCTTCTTTCTCCATCCCTTCCTCCTTCTCTCCTCTTCTCCTCATCCTATCCTCCTTTGTTCTCCTTCTCCCTGGACCTATGTGCCCTGCCTCCTGCTTCTAACTCACTTCTCTGTGGTGAGAGGAGACAGAAAAGGAAGCCTGAGGTCTAAGAGAGCCCAGGTGAAGAGCAGCTGCAGATGTCCAGATGGACATTACAAGCCAGAGTACACAGCTGTACCAGGAGACAGATGGACAAACACACACACACACACACACACACACACACACAGAGAGAGAGAGAGAGAGAGAGAGAGAGAGAGAGAGAGAGAGAGAGAGAGAAGGCTCAATTAGAGCCAGGACTTTCACAAGTCTAAAAACTCCAGAATGCTTGACAAATTCAAAAACAGAAACAAAACAAAACACCAGCCCTTGCTCTGGATTGATTGCTTTGCCTTGGGGCCTGAAAGGGAACCACAGCCCTCACCACAGTCCTGCCAGGCAGAAGGTGGCGGACGGACCCCTACGGAATAGCACCCTGGGTTCTGTTCATTTTCTGCCTCTCCTATGACCACCTGCCACCTCTACTGTGACCCAGAGCTGTCTGTCTGCAGCGATTCCGCACAGGTCACAGCAACCTGTTTACAAACAGCTAGAGTTCCAAGGCTCTCTTAGGACAAGGGACTCGGGATGCATCCAAATGGACAGCAAAGCCTTGGTCAGAGAATCCGTCCCTCCCTTTCTATTTATGCCGATGTAAACACTCGCCAAGGAAACAAGCCATGCAGGCATGCGCAGCCCTGCAGGCCCTCGGGTGGCTGCAAAAGGCAACTGGAAAGTCACATGTCATAACACTGGAAAGTACATATGCAGCTATTCTTAGGCTTGGAATGTATACACTGTCTGCCTGCCCGGCAGCCCTTGCACCGAGCTCTAGGAGCTGTGAAAGTGCCTGCAGCATAAACAAACCCAGAACTCATCTAGGACAGAGAATTTGCCAACAGAAGGAAAGGCCTGGGGTTTATGGTTTTATTCCAAGCCTAAGGTAGAAACCTTCTGAGGGGACAAGACAAACCCGGCATCCGTGGATGTCACTGCAGCAAAACAAGGTAGGTGTCCCTAACTTGTCATTCCTCAGCAGGCAGACTGTCCATGTCACCAAGGAGCCACAGAAGTGTTTGGTGTTCTCTACTAATTACATCTTTAAAACAAAACCCAGAGACCATGCGGTCTTCTCTCTAGATCTGGCCACAGCCCGCTGTAATCCCTCACTTCTGTCCAGTGACCAGAAGACCACACCCCCAGAATGTCAGCCTTAGGGAATAACTAACTCCAAGAAAGATTTGTAGACAAGTTTACTGGCAAATCTGCTAATGATCTGGACAAAGGCATACATTACTTGTCAAATGCATGGACTGCTTTTTTTGTTTGTTTGTTTATTTTTGTGCCAGGCTAATATGTGAGTCTCTGACCATCAACTTTGGTTGGAAGAGGCCTAAGATTAGCTGGAGATGCTACATGTCTTTTATCTCTGAGGCTGTTCACAGCCTGAAGTAGATCACTTTGTGGTCTGCGATGAGGGTGGTTTCCTCTTCCCTCTTCAGTGTGCTCTGTTTGTGAACCCATTGACTTGGTAAATAGATACAATGAACGAGGCTTGGAGCCCCCACAGCTAACCCCTCTAGTACACGATGCCAGAAAGCCTTGACCTTGCTTCCATTTGGGGCTTCCCTCCTTCTTTGTAGGATGGATGAGGAGCTACCAGATGGGGTTGTCTTCAAAGACGACAACTTCTCCTCTGACTTGTTGAGACAGCTCAATGACTTAAGGCAGAGCAAGACCCTGACCGATGTGAGCATCTGCTCCGGAGCCTGGGAGGTCCCTTGCCACCGCAATGTGCTGGCCTCCAGCAGCCCCTACTTCAAGGCCATGTTCTGCAGCCACTTCCGGGAGAGCACGGAGGCCAAAGTGTGGCTGAAGGGCATCAACTCCAGCACTCTAGAGCAGGTCGTCACGTATGTGTACACAGGAGAGGTGCACATCACAGCTGCCAACGTCCTCCCCCTGATGGAGGCAGCCGCCATGCTGCAGTACCCCAGGGTGTTCGAGGCCTGCTCATCATACCTGCAGAGCCAGCTGGCCCCCAACAACTGCCTGGGCCTGGTCAGACTCGCGGAAATCTTAAACTGTGAAAGCCTTAAGAAGAGAGCCAGGGAGGTGGCCCTGACTTGCTTCCCAGAGGTAGCAGCGTCGGCTGACCTGAAGGAGCTCTGTGCCATGGAGTTGAGAGACTACCTAGGAGATGACAGGCTCTGCGGCGAGGAGGAAAAGGTGTTTGAGGCCCTCATGGCTTGGGTCAAGCATGACCTCCAGGCCCGATGGCCCTACATGCAGGAACTTCTGCAGCAAGTCTGAAGGCATTACATACATCCTGCCTTCTTTCACCATTTCATTGCCAACGACGCTGTCCTCCAGTCGTCGCCCGCATGCCGGGCCATCCTGGAGGTGGCCAGGAAGCAGATGTTCTCTTTGTACAGCCCCAGTGCCCAGGACTGCAAACTCGTGTGGCACGAACCCCCGAGGAGCTGCTACCAAGACTGCCTCCTTGTCCTGGGGGGCCAGAAGGACAACCAGCAGACCACCAGGGATGTCTTGCTCTACAGTGTACACACTGGCCAGTGGCAGAGCCTGGCCAAACTCCCCGCGCGGTTGTACAAGGCCTCGGCTGTCACCTTGCACCGCAGCATCTACGTGCTCGGGGGCGTGGCTGTGAGGGAGGGCAAGAGTGCCGTCAGTGCCAGCGTGTATGTCTTCTCTCTGAAACTCAACCAGTGGAGACGCGGGGAGCCCATGCTGGCAGCCCGCTACTCTCACAGAAGCGCCGCCCACCGGAATTTCATCTTCTCCATCGGGGGCACCGGAGAAGGGCAGCAGCTCCTGGGTTCCATGGAGAGGTATGACAGCGTCTGTGATGTCTGGGAGAGCATGGCTGACATGCCAGTGGCCGTGCTCCACCCTGCGGTTGCCGTGAAGGACCAAAGGCTCTATCTTTTTGGGGGTGAGGACATCATGCAGAACCCTGTGCGCCTCGTCCAGGTAACCAGCCGGTCCTTCTCTCCACGCTAGGACCGAGTGTGCTTGTGTGTGCGCACACACACATACATAAATATACATGCCTAATACAATAGCATATACACACACACATATACACATGCATGTCTGCAGCCATGTAAACATTCACATGCACACGTATACAAATAGCACACGCATAATTATATACAGACACACTCATACAGGCACATGTATAACTGAGTGAACATATATGCACATGGGCGTGTGCATGCATTCAGTCAGGTGTACATTCACTCACGTGAACATGCTAACAGTGTAAACATGCATGCACATACATGTATGCGCACACATGATTATGTGACATATTCGCATACACATGTGCGTGTGTATAACGCCATACATACGCAGACATGAACATATCATGACCAACACGTGCACACATACATATGCAAGTCTGCATGCATGGGCACATGCGTGCACCCATATTACGCACACGTCTGTACACATGCGTGTGTATGTGTGCACTTGTGTGTACATGCATTTGTATGAAAACGTATCATAGCACATACATGTCATAAATATGTGCATATATGCATTCTTGTGTACCGTGTACATACATGCATGAATTTGTGTGTGTACCCCTACATACACTCTTATTTATCGTGGCATACACATATCTATGCACACGTGTGCACATATACACTTATGTACATATGTATGCATGCAGACATAGAATAGAATACACACTTGTGCACATATACACCTATGTACATATGTATGCATGCAGACATAGAATAGAATACACACTTGTGCACATATACACCTATGTACATATGTATGCATGCAGACATAGAATAGAATACACACTTGTGCACATATACACCTATGTACATATGTATGCATGCAGACACAGAATAGAATACACACTTGTGCACATATGCACGCATGCATACATGTGTATTATATATGCCACATATGATAGCATATGCATCTGAGAACAAATGCATGTATTTGTGTGTGTGTATGAGTGTATACACATGCCCAGACAGGCACACACATACACACAGGCACACACACATAGCACACACACACATAGCATGCACGCATTTGCCTTTCTCGGGGCATGAAGAGAAGCAGGAAATTTTCAGTGGTGTTTGGCTTATGGATTTTTCTTGTGAGACTAATGCAAAGTCATGTCAGGTGCACCCCATCCGAAAAGAGCTTGTCTTCACTTGAAGGGAAATAACCTAGAAGTTCATGCTGAAACATATTTAAAACAAGACAGCACAGTGCTATAGGACGCTCGTGGTGCCGTTAACCCCCCACTGCAAGGCTACCCTCCTCGCATGGAATCATGACATCTGTGCTTTACAGAGGTCTCCAGGAGCCTCTAAGGCATGACTGGGGCTGGGACCGTGTGCCTGAAATGACAGGAGGAATTCATTTCACTAGCACAGGCCCTGAGACGTGGGTTTGAAAAAGGCCAACTTCAGAGCGTCGAGTGTCCATGCTCCGTGCAAGCTTTAATGACTGTGCCGCACGTGGTAAGCTTCCCTTACTATTTAGGCGACACCAGGGGTGGACTCTGTCTGGCCGCTGTCAATGACCTGAGAGGAAACAGAAAATTACATCTAACCCTCCAGGAGTTTACATGACAGCTGCAATTCGCAATCTGAAGATCCAAGTGCTGAGAGCTTAAGGGGTGTCCTAGATGGGACCAGAGGGAATGGCAAAGAGCATGAAGGTCCAGAGGAATTTGGAGAAAACTCCGTGAGAGGGTGAAAGAGGAGGGAGGCGTCAGAATGGATGCTAAGATGCTAAAAACGAGCAAGCAGCGGGGGGCCTGGCTGGGAGCGAAGAGCTGACAGCTGAAGACGGCAGAACTGTCTGCAGAGGGAGAGACGGACCTGGGTCCTTTGTACAGAGGCTCAGAAGAAAAGAGGAGGCAAGCGCTCTGCCTGCGGAGCCGAGAGCGTGACAGTGACAGCGTGACGTACAGTCGCCAGCGGAGTGAGGAGGAGGCTGCATGCCAGACGGTAGCTGGGGAGGGAGCAGGTGTCAGCCCCGTGTAGTCTCCATCATGCCCTTCTTACGCTGCCCCAGCAGCCTCCTCCACACAGATCCAACCTCCAAGGCGCTCCTACCAAAATTCTGGAACATTCCAGAATGGCTTGTGGAGAAGAAGCTGCTGCGGCTGGGCTTTGTATATCTTGTCAGGAAACTGGGGTGGTGACCCGAGAGCGAGGGGGCAGAGAGAGCATCAGGTTTGCGTTTCAGCGCCCTCTACCTGTGGGTCGTGACCCCTCTTGAGGGGCCGAATGACCCCTCACAGAAGGTACATATCAGGTGTCCTACATATCTGATGTTTACATTATGATCCATTCCAGTAGCAAAATTACACGTACGTGTTAGCAGTGGAATAATTTTATGGTTGGGGGTCGCCACAACACGAAGAACTGTCTTAAAGGGTTGAAGACTCAGGAACGTTGAGAACCACTGATCTAGATGCTTCTAGAGGAGGGAATGGAGAACACCCGGGGAAGAGAGCCGGAAGATGCTCCCAGAAGCCCGGACAGAGGGTGCTGATGGCTTAGACCTCCGCACCTTCTTTCTGCAGCCCTTACTCCCCGTGAGCATCAAGAAGAGGCTCATTCTTCCAGAAGTCCACCCATTGACTGGAGCTGGGGGGGACTCCACTATGATCCTCGGGAGAGACCCACCAGGGCCCCGCCCACCTCTCTCGACTGTTTGCCCAAATAGAATCAACAGCTAGGCCGGTGACTTCACGCCGCCACAAGACTGTCACCAACTTCCTGAGAATAAAATGCAAAGCTCGAATAAACTTCCAGCTAACAGATCAGGAAATGCATAGTGCAACCAAACCAAGACCCTCACAAAGCCAAACTAGCCCGGACTTGTGAGTGGCCCTTTTGTGGTACAGCCAAGGAAAGCCAGGAGTGGGTGGATGTAGGCGGCTGGTCTGTGGGCCTGTAACGTTGGCCACACCCCTTTGGATGTGGTTTCAGTGGGACAGAAGCAGAAAGAGAGGAGCTTGAGGCTGGCTTTCCTTGGCCCACACTTTTCTGGTGGGTCAGCGGATCCGGTAGGCAGAGCAGGGAAACTCCAATGGTTCTTTGTATTATTCTGTATAATTGTCCCCCAATAAACACCCATTTATCATTTACCTTGGGTCTAGTGATATAATTCCATCCTCGCCTTCAGGTGGAAGCGTTCACATGCGTGCTTTTCTTACCGTCTAGCATTTGCTTTCAAGTGGGCATTCTACTGGCTTAAACACACTTTAAAATGAGTGCTGGGACTCACTTGATGGAGGAGGCTGAGTTTTCAGGCGGAAGCAGAGGAGTCTTCCAGACCATCTTTCAATGGTGTCACTAGACAAGGTGGACACTGATGGTCCCCTTCTACCTGGCCTTTGTCCTGACTCTGCTTCTAGAGGACATAAAACAAATCCTGTACCATGAGGCAGCATCACTTCCTAGCGGGTCAAGCACATCCTTTGTTACCTTGCTGCGGTCTCTCTGAAGTCCTCCTGTGAGGACTGAGAGCAAATGACAAACCTGTCTTTGAAACCGAACTCCAAGCTGAGAGAGCAGAAGGCCAGGAGGCAATCCCTCACCCGAGTAAAATGCAGCCAGCAGCTGCGTTCCTCCAGAGGATCCGACTTCTCAAGGAGTGTGTCACCACTGTATTTTCAGATGAAGCAATGGGACTTCCCAGTGACTCTACTCAGCCTCCTCCAGGCTGCAACAGGAAGAAGGGATAATGTAGATCCTAGGGGGTTGTTGGTCTCATCCATCACGGCACCACCATAAGACAGCTCAACAGGTCAAGGGACTTGCTATGAAAGTCTGAACTGAGTTTGGTTCCCAGAACCCAGTGAAAGTGGAAGGGAGAGTAGACTTCACAAAGTTGATCTCTGACCTCCACACACACCGTAGCACAAGTGTGCACACATATGCACAAACATACGCACAACAAACATAGCAATAAATTGTAAACTAGCAGATAATACCACACTCCGTCAACAGATCCATGGCACTGGTGACCGAGAGCATGGCCCCTGGATTGAACCAGAAACTACCATGTCCATTCAGTCTGTCTGTGCAAGTCACTGTCTGTAGGCCTCAAGAGTCTAATCTAAAAAAACGAGGAAGAAACAGTGGCTACCCTGATAACATTGTGAAAGTCAACTTCTTCTTGCTACCTATTTACATTAAAAATGTAGTTATTTTTTATGCCTATGGGTGTTCTGCCTACACACACACACACACACACACACACACACACCAGAGCATCACGTGAATGCTGTGGCCCTAGAAGTAAGACAAGAGCATCCGATTCTCTGGAACTGGAGTTAAGGACAGTTGTGAGGCACCGTGTGAGCTGCTGGGAATTGAACCCAGAACCTTGCAGAGTGTAGCCAGTTCTCTTAACCACTGAGCCACCTCTCCAGTCCCTATTTATGATTTTAGAAGCAAAGTCTCATGTAGCCCAGGCTGACCTTGACCTTCTGATCTGCTTCCACTTCTTGGTTGCTAGGGTCACAGGTGGCACCAGCCACACCCAGTGTATGTGGTTCTGGGGTCAATACAGGCCTTCATACATGCCAGTGGTCCTGGGGGTCAGTGCAGGCTTCATACATGGCCAGGTGAGCACTCCACTGCCTGCCCTAAAGGATGAGGTCATTGATGAAGCTAGAAATTATATTTTGTATGGGAAAAAGTATCAGTGACAACTACTGTGCCATTTTCCTCAGTAAACAGATGTTTGTTTATTCTTTTTTTTTCCATGTTTGGTTTTTCCAGAAGGGTTTCTCTGTGTAGCTTTGTAGACCAGGGCTGGCCTCGAACCCACAGAGATCCGCCTGCCTCTGCTTCCCAAGTGTTGGGATTAAAGGCGTGTGCCACCAATGTCTGGCTTGTTTCTTCTTATGTGGAGTCTGTCCTTTATCTCTGATGCTAAATTGTGCCTATTACTTTTGTTTGATATTTGAGTTTGAAACTGAGGAAATCAACAGAAGAGGGAACCGTAATTTGATCTGCATTTCGATTTGTCTCTTCTCTTATTTCTCTTCTTTCACAAAAACTCTAGTTCCTCTCAGCCTAAGGAGCCTTCCTTGCATAGCCTCAAATGTATTCTTGGTTCTCTGACCCTCTTAGCTACACAGGAACATTCAGAAATATAAACACTATCTAGAAATAAAAATACTGAAAAATAATTGGTTTCCTAAATATCCAAGATGCTCCATTTCTCATTAAAATAATAAAACATCCCAAGAAGGTAAGAGAGATGCCTACCCCAGTGTGGAACCCTTGGCCCAGGTAATGGAAACACAGCCACTGGTTTCATGGGGTCACAAAACTAACTCATCTTTCTGCCAGCAAGAGTTCATGTATTGATAGTAATACCTACACTTTAAAACCTGAAAAGAAACGGAAAGAAAAATTCCTTTCTGATTCACCCTGAGGTTGACTACTTGGGCCAATAAGGTGGCTCATCAGATAAAGGCTTTTGTCACCAAGACTGGTGATCTAAGTTCAGGCCCTGGAACTCACATGGTAGAAAAAAAGAACAGAAGGATTGCCAAAATCCTCTGACCTCCACACTTAGAAACACAGACACACACACACTTTCATACACATACCATACACACACTAACACACACACACAACACACACAATACATACATGACTTACATACTACACACACACATCATACACACCACACACACACACACACACACCACACACACACACACCACACATACACACACACACACACCACACAAACATACTCCTCTCTCTGTGTGTGTCTCTCTCAAGTAAAAATGTGATAACTCCTCTTTTTCTCTTTTAGAGAAGTTAACTTTAAAATTTGGTGTCATGACTCTGTTTCCCCCTCAGGTTTACCACATTTCCAGAAACACATGGTTCAAAATGGAGACAAGGATGATCAAGAACGTGTGCGCCCCCGCAGTGGTACTGGGGGAGAGAATTGTCATTGTGGGAGGTGAGTGAACAGAGCGGTCGGGAACAAACTCAGCAGCTCCTGGGGAAACGGCTGCTGAGAGGCCGGGCTTGGGAAATCACATCCATCCGGAGGAAAGTGCGGAAAACCCAAAGAGCCGTTCGCCTGGAAGCTTCTTCCTGTCTCTCTCTATATTCTACAGAGCTGTTGTCCTGATAAAATGTGTTATGTGGCTAAAGCCAGCAGGACTGTTGTAGACACAGGAAGAAGAGATGCCAACACTAGCTAGGTGTGGTAGCTCACACCTGTAATTTGAGCACTTGGGAGGCTGAGATGGAAGGATTGCCAGTCTGGGCTACATAGTGAGTTCCAGACCAGACTATACAAAGTATAAGACCCTCTCTCAAAATACTACTACTAATAATAGTAGTGGTGCTGCTGCTGCTGCTGATACTAACAACAACAATGGCTTCTAACACATCACTTCTCTGTAAATGCATACTATTCTGTGGTTAAGAGGGCCAGTAGAGGGGTCAAAGAGACCTGGGTTCAAATCCCAACTCTACCATTAGGTGGTTATATACTTTTTGCAAGTTAGTCATCTTTCTATGTTTTGGTTTGCCTGTCACGAAAATGGGAACCCTCAAAACAACTGCCCAGCAGACAGCCATGCAATCCATTTCTGTGTTCCCAAAGAAGGTCCTCGTCCTTGAATGGCTGTGGCTCTGGGGTCACGCAGAAGAGATAATAATGGCAGCAGGGCTGTAGAAGCTATTGGAAGGCAGAATTTCCCCCTACGCTACGAATGACTTACATGGCTGCCGTAATTTGGGCCAGAGCCAGAGAGATCCAGATGCCAGCCTCAGCTCTGCCACAAGCCAGGCTGCAGCAGGGTACCTGGGCATCCATGCTTTGGTCAGAGTCCCAGCCTGGCGGGTGTCTGGGGGTCAGGGGGGTGGGGATTGGGGAGCAGAAGCATTCTTCACCCCCTGATCCACAGCCCCAGGTGAGCCACCCACAGCTGTCCGTGCGTTATTCAATTTTCAGGTTACACAAGGAGGATTCTTGCTTATGACCCTCGGGCCAACAAATTTGTCAAGTGTGCAGACATGAAGGACCGGAGGATGCACCACGGGGCGGCAGTGATGGGGAGCAAGCTGTATGTGACAGGTGGGCGGAGGCTGACCACGGACTGCAACATTGAGGACTCCGCCTCCTTTGACTGCTATGACCCTGAGACGGACACCTGGACATCCCAGGGACAGCTACCGCACACACTCTTTGACCACGCCTGCCTGACTCTCCAGTGCGTACGTCACACAGCCGGCTTCACGTGAAGGCCACAAGAACCTATCTGGGTCAAAATGCTGTGTGATGCAAGAGATTGCAGCCCAGCTCCAAAGGCCTAGGGCTGAGGGAAGTGAAAACTACCACTCTCCACAGAGTAGTATTTAAGAAGAAATGCCAACGGGTGCCTTTTAACTCAAGAGGTTCATACCTCTTGAACCAATGCCAGAAATTGCACTACTACAACTGGGAAGGTCTGTATCACATAACTCCAGATGGAAGTGGGGGTAACTACTTGATTGACAGCCCAAACCACCTGGAATAAGGCAGAAGATGTTTCCCAGGACCCTTGGGATCACTCAGGCCAGAGGGATGCACATGAAACTGTTGTATCTGTGACTTGTGTCCCCACATTCTATGGGTAAAACGCATTGAAAGTCGGCTCAGTTCAGTAGCTACCCAGGGTCTGCAAAAATTATCCTGCAATGAAAAACTTAAGAACAGAACAAAGTTGCTGCTGGTGCCAGATGATCTCTTAAAGCCGTGGAATGAATTTGGGGTTCCGTTTCACTAAGTGTTATGAGAATGGCTCTTCTGGGGAAAGCCAACGGATTCCTCAGCAACAGCAGCAACCATCACCCCCCAGGTATCAGGGCTGAGCCTCCCCGTGGCCCCTTCACTTCCAAGTCCCCCTCATCCTCAGTGTCAGGCCCACGCACACGCCGGTGTGCTCATCAGAGGCTCTCAGTGAGGCCAGGATGATGCAAACACAGAGAAGACATTTTGAAACATCATTGAGTCCCGTTCAAGATGGAGGCGCAGGGGTTCGAGGAGGGAAGGTCCAGAACTCTGTATTTCTGAGTGGTTTCCTAAGGTGACCCTATCACTCAGCCATGGTGGAGAGCCAGAGCCCTGCTCGGCTGTATGTACTGAAGACCACCATGGCTCCTCTCTTTCCTATCCTGTCCTGGCCAATGCCAGGCAATCTCGGCATGTAAGCTGTTTCCTACCCACGAAAGCATCTGGAATAAATTTTGCTATTCTGTGTTGCGTGCTGGAGTCTCCCTGCCTTCCCAGGTTACAAAGGCTTCCTCCTTTCTTCATGCTTTCCCCTTAAATTCTCTTCATGAGGTAATACTGTGGTTCAGAGTCTCTGTCTGCACCATTGGCCCTGCCCCTCAGCCTACATGCCACCCGTTCTCTAACCGCCCCCCTTTTTAGAGAGGGTTTCCTATAGCCCAGGTTGACCTCAAACACGCTATGTAGCCTTGAACTTCTAATCCTCCTGTCTCCACCTCCTGAATCCAGAGGATGCAGGTGTGTGGCACCATTCCTGCTTTCTTCTTCACTGGGGATCAAACCCAAAGCATCGTACATGCTAGACAATCATTCTACCAACTACAGCCCTAGTCCTAATCCATTGTTTTTGAAGTCTTTTTTGTCAGGCTCTTGGTCCCATCTCTCTCTCTCCCTTAACATGAATTTGGAACGGTACCCAGTGATGCAAACACTGCCCAAACAGTTCTTTTTTCATTTCCTGCCCACATTGACTGACCACACAGTAAGCACATCCCTGGCCAGGCCCTTGGTCCCATCTCTCTCTCTCCCTTAACATGAATTTGGAACGGTACCCAGTGATGCAAACACTGCCCAAACAGTTCTTTTTTCATTTCCTGCCCACATTGACTGACCACACAGTAAGCACATCCCAGCCTGCCCTCCACCTTGAACTACTTTCCTGTTCCTGAATTCATGATGCCTCTTGGTCTTGCTTCTCCTCGCCATGACTCACTTTTGTCTCCTGGTTTTCGTGACTACTAAATGAGGATACAACTGAAGTCTCATTTGTGTGTCTGGTGTATGTGGTGTGTGTGTGTGTGTATGTGTGTGATTTGTGTATGTGATGTGTGTGGTGTGTGTGTGGTGTGGTGTGTGTGTGTGTGGTGTGTGTGTGTGTGTGGTGTGTGTGTGTGTGTGTGTGTGTGTGTGGTGTGATGTGTGTGGTGTGTGTGATTTGTGTATGTGATGTGTGTGGTGTGGTGTGTGTGGTGTGTGTGTGGTGTGTGGTGTGTGTGTGTG